TATCCTGGCCGGAGCCTCTCTGGTCACAAAGTAGCTGGGGGTTTTCTCCATGGTGATCTGGCCCTCCAGAGTCTTGGGCATCAGCTCCCTGCAGATAAAAAAGACACAAAAGGGAGGTTAGGAGAAGGGTAAGGTGGAGCAACGTCTTGCATAATGTAATCAAGTTGATGGAGTGTGCTGTTCTGTAATCAATGAGTCACTGAGCCTGTTTAGCCTTATTATAGGGCTCCAAAACCTATTAGTGCAGGCAGCCGTCCAACATCAGCACGCTCACTCACTCAAAAGATATCTCACTACTGACAGAAAACAGAGAACTCGTATTTACTGCATAAACAAACATTTGCAGGAATTTCTAAACATGACCTCACAATTCACCATATTAGGGATTTGGAGTTGGGTTTCCTCAAGCCTGTTACCCCTTATTAATATGTATTGCAATTAAGCTTACAATTCATTTTTTTATAAATTAGCTCACAACATGTGTGCATTTAATTATCTAATGGGTTTACCCTGAGCTCATCCTTACTTAAACCTCACTGCTGGATGTTATGTTCCAAAGTGTTCAGACTTAATGAAAACTCCCCTCTTTTTACAAACAAGGCAAAATATACACTCAATCCGCCTTGCTGACTCAGGCATAGCCATGCCCCACCCCTTATCCGACCAACAAAAAAAGAAAAAACCTTAAACGCTACAGTGCTGAAAGATGATGAGGCTTGTTTCAAAAAGGGAATCTGTTTTTTAACAAGAGTGGGTTTGGTTTGGGTTAAAGGATGGCTGATAGGCTTTCAACAGATATGTTACATGCAGACGTATAATCAAGAGGTACTCGAGAACAACTGGATATGAAGGGAAAGGGAACGTGCTCTCTCAGCATTAGGTTTCACAATTGGTGGCAAACCGCAACGTCTAGATTATGGTGGAGGCGATAAGAGCGGTTTGACTGACATTGAAACACAGATCACCTTTCCATGTTTTGGCCCTCACTCCAAGGACAAAACTATGTGTGATGAACGCTGGATTACATGTGTTTTTACGGCTGGCTGGATGGGAGGGGTTTGGATTACGTACTGGAAACTGGCTCATCAAAAAGACAATAGTAAATCTAATTCAGGGACACAGAAAAACAAAAAGCAAAGGGGCCCTTGAAGGAGGAAAAAACAAAAGGAAGAATGAGATAACCGAGGGCACTTATCAGGGTGAACACACTCTCGCAGATAAGACTCCTGTTGGCTTGTTGAACCCTGAGCCCCGCCTTTGTTGTTAAGGCTAGGCCACTCATACACCATTGTGTAGACAGTACCATTGTAGTCCATCACATTCAAATTCCATGTAATTCTGCACAGAGTACTTCCACAAGAAAATAGTCTTTTACCTATGTTGGACACATTCTGTACACTCAGAAGTCTGTAACACTCGATTTTTCCTTGCAGAATCTGGAAAAAAAAAAGCTGGAATCTAGTTCACGTCCATCCACCTCATGGCTAATTCATGGTACATCGGCTCTCCATCTATGCATATATTTGTGCGGATGGTGAGGGAAGGGAGAAAATACCCAGGGTAGAGTCAGGTAACTAATAAAATGCCTGGTGGAAAGGATGTTGGAAGATCTGTGTAATCCTAATGCAGTGCCAGTGATCTAATTATGATAATATCTTCTTGATTGCTGACACGTCGAAGGGTGGATGCAGTAGACGGGGAGGAAAGCAAATCTGTTTCCAAAAGCTAATTCAGAGCCAGGGATGATAAATACACAAGCCAGAAAGGTTGTTTAGTTTCCTTTATTAAAAACAAGTCAAGTGTCTCTGGTCTGTGTCCAGCAATCCTTAATAGTATTGCATAAAACCCATTATAAGTACACATATGAATGATTCTCTCAAACAACTTATAACTGCACCCACTTGAATGCCTTCAAGGAAATGCAACCAAATGTTCTCTACTCAAACGTCAAGCTACTCGTCATTCTCTCGATGCACAATGGTGATACTGCCTGCAAGCTTTTTGTCATTCCTTGTGCTAACATACAAAAACAGTCCAGAACCGACACAGTGGAGGCAAATGGCTTCCCATCTAATCCGATTTCAACATGACAATGCGGCATGGAGATAGAGAGGAGGCCTGAGTTTTTACAATGTGCATAGTGATAGATTATGCTGATCCTAGCTCAGGGATTTGGAAAAAAAACTAAATCCCAAACAAGTGTTGGGGGTTGGAGAGGCATTAATAAGGAAACGGTTGGTCAGCAATGGAGAAAGAAAGCAGCGAGGAAGCCCCTAAAAAGCGCCAAAGTAGAAAGAAGAGACCCCCCCTCCCCTAGTAAAAAAAAAATCACCTCTGGCTTTACCCGCTTTCTCTGCCAAAGAGGCAACAAAAAAAAGTCAGGAAGAGTGAAAAGAGAAGAGAGGAGGGGAATTTTAGTGGGACAAGTGGCTCTTGGAGAAACAATGGCTATTATGCTCCTTTTTGATTTATGAGGTGCTGCTTTTAAAGATTCCGTCAGCAAACGCAATTCTGTGACACCCAGCTCCTCTTTTTTCCTGCTTTTCTTTGAAAGTGAGCCATTGTCCGTGAGCGCAGGGGTGAGCAGGGCAGTGGTCAGGGCACAGGGGCGGGGATGGGGGCAGGGTGGAGAGGGGGCAGATAGAGGAGAAGGAGGGAGGGAGGGATACTTATCGAGGGCTGAGTGGAGTGCACTTCTACGTCCTTCTCAACCTCGAGTGAGAGAAGCCTTTTGGAGAGCTCTTGAGTGGAACGTGTGCCGAAGTGCCCTGCAAACATTACCCTGTCCCCCATGGAAACCAAGGAATCCACATAGAAATAGTAGAAATATCTTAGTAGTAGTATTAGTAATAAATAGTAAGTATAGAATATCCTGACTTTCTATACTTGCTTAGCTTGTTCTCCCACATGATATATATCTTTATTCCTCTCTACACCTTTGTCAATTGAGAGCATTTCCAAGTTAAAAGACATGCCAAAAACAGCGACAAGACACAAAGCAGAAGCTCTTGTCATGACAGCATCAAACTGGGGGCCCGGCGGAGTGGCCCTTTGGCCTGCGATTTAAAGAGCCCTCATCCCAGGCGGAGATAAACGTCGGGCAGGAAAAGGGTTATTTCTGTCTGATGCTTCTGCTGCCTCCCCCCTGTCATGTTTGATCTGATGATAACGGGCTGCCACCGAGCTGTCTGTGACACAGCATCCCTGACAAAATGACTGCTTGGCTCAAAGACAAAGGGAAAAAGCTATTTGGCGTGTGTGTCTGTCGATTTCCAGTTCGATACAAAAGGTTTTCAATTGTCTCACATGTCTGGATGTTGAAAGCATTTGAATCTCAAATTAGGGTTTGTTTATTTGAATACAGACAAATCAGAGGGCACTTTGTATCCAGCAGCGAAGGGAGGGTGCGGCTTTGCTCTTATGGGCATTTAGAGCCAAGGTTTCTATGGCTTTAAGACCCTTGAGCTAATGTCATCTCCTTATGGGAGTTAACACCACCCAGGAAAACAGCATACACTTAACATTGCTCTAGTAGAGGCTGAATGAACCAGAATAAGACAATCTAACACATCAGTTAATTTCAGGAAAACATGCAGATATAAACAATTCCCTTCTACGAGTCTCCCCAAGTCTCCACTCTTCACCCTGCTCTCTTTTCCATTGATCCCAGAGGTTCCCCCGACCCCTGACAATCAGGGCCTCGAGGTCCGATAGCAAAGTGACACTTCACAAGTGGGAAGATGGAGAGGGAGGAAATGAGGGAAGAGGGACTGAAAGGCTCCCTTTCTTTTCCAAGGGCCTCTTGCCTGAGCCCTTCACTTGAACCAATGTGTTGGTGGACTTACAAGCATTTTCAGGAAATACAAAGGAACATCTTTATTCCTCATTGGATGATGTGGTTCGGGGCTATACTTGTTCACAGTTACACATTTAATCGTTTCTACTATGAAGAAGAAAAACATTTGAGTACAACATGCTAATTCTAACAAAATGTCTGATACTGTGAAAATCGCTTTCCCAGTTAGAAACACAGCGCAAAAGATGATGGATGATACATGCAGATACGGAAGGTTCTCTGCATGAATTCATGGATGACTCACTGGTAAATACAAGCAGGGTTCGTAAACAGCCCTCCCGTTAAAAGCTCACAGTAGGGGAAGCCTACATGCTATGAAATGGAACTGAAGGGAGCTAAATGTTTATGTAACACACATACTACATACACACTTTGGTTACTACACAAGGAGGCAGGCATGAACAACTCTTAAAGTACCATTTAAGCACATACAGAAGCCAGACATTTTGAAAAATACACTCCACTGTGCCTGGAGTCTGTCATTATATTTAACCACAGAGCATGGCTTTAGCTATAAATTAAAAGAATAGAGAAGATGGTTTATTGCGGCCAAGGACACTCCAACGCAGAGAGGCAGAAGAGTTCCGGCTGCAGATACAGAAGCTTCATCTGGTCTCTCTTTCAAGCACTTCGAGTGGAGTGCAGGTGTTAGTATGTGGCCCCTTATGAATTTTTGACAGATCACTTCCTGGCTGAGAAGAGCCAGAGATCTCTGCTTTAAACTTGAGACCTTGCAGGAGTGTGCTGAAGTGGGTCTTTGTCTTATACGTCTCCGTTTTGCGTAGCAAAAAACGATGCATATACATTTGCACTTGCAATTGTGCAAGTCTCCGCCACCTGCTTGTAGCTTGATACCCGCCTAATAAACTCTTAGTGACGCTACAGCTTCATCATCCTGGTCAGAGTCAACAGTCAGTGCTCCTCCCCGGCCTGGGGTTTCAAATTAACAGGCCTCACTGAGTAATGGTGTCACTAGAAACTCAGCACGGTGGCTAAGTGGAAGACCCTCCAAATCATCTGTCTGCTATAAGGATTAATAATGCAGGCTGGCCTAGTATTACACACTCCGACCTGGATGTTGGGGGTCCTGCATGGGATGGTGGGGCTAGTAGGAGGAGAGAATTTAGAAAGATAAATTCCACCTTCAGGTTACTGGGAACGTTCCTGGAGCCACTGTCCTTTGCTATTAGTATTAAGTGCTAACTCAGGTTTTCCTTCCTTAGGTGACTATT